GAGCCCGTCTCGTTCTTGGTTTCAGACTGAACCAGCTGGGAGGTGAATTTCTGACGTCCTTGGTATATAGCAGGCCTTTCTGCGGGTCACGATGTTGCGGATATACCTAGATGGATCGGGAATACTATTCCCGATCCATCTAACTATTTAGCATATTTACAGACCAGTAATGCGTGCACATTTCCATCCAAGCGACTAGCTCCCCGGCACGCCCTTGACCTCGAGCACAGAAACGCTGAGGTCGGGCAGGGAGTACGTGAAAACACCACCAGCACCGGCCGTGAGCGTCGTTGTCTCGGTCTTGACGGCAGCGATGCTTCCCACGGCATTGCTGCTGTTCTCACCGCCGGGCGCTGTGAGCACGGTGAGCGTGGCCGTGGCGCCGGCGGCCACGGCGTCGCCGGCAAACGCCACCGTCATGGACACGGCCGCTCCGCTCGGGCTGCCGTACACGGCTGTCTTGACGACGCGCGATCCCGTCGCAGCGTTGAGGCCTACCACGTAGTACACGGGCTTGGGCGGGTCGCCAGTCATGGATAAGAGATGCGTGATGCGCACGCTGGAGAGCAGCTGATGGGGGGTCAGTTAATGGCAGTGTACTTGGAGTGGTATCGAAGGAGGGACGGACCTTGATGACGGCGTGGCTGGTGCTCTTGACCGTCTGCGCGGGGTCGGCCGTGTACGCTGCCCAGTCACTATCGTCAGCAACTTGCTCGATAATCAGTCAGACGCAACTCAACTCACCAATCAGATCCGGTGTCCACTGGTGGCTGTTGAGATTGCAGAATAGCGGCGCGTACGTCAGCCCGATGACGACGTCGCCGTTGCGCTCGGCGCCAATGGCCAGCACCGCCTCTGAAACGGACCCCTTCCAGAACGGATATAGCGGCCGGTTGTTCCACATGTTGGACGCCGAGTCCCGATTGATGTTGGCGTACTCGCCTGTTGGCCCGCCAAATCTGTTAGACTTGTTTACATACCAACAGGAGGGACGAGAAAAACATACCGACAATGACCTTGTGCTTGCGGTCGTAGCGGTCAAACTTGGCAAAGTCGCCGATCATGGACTTGGGCTGCGAGTACGTGTGGTAGTCCTGCGCGGCATCGCCGGGCAGCGACTTGGTCTCCATGCTGGCGATGACAGTCATGTTGGGGTACTTGGCCTTGATGGCATTATAGAACATGGGGAAGCGGTAGGCCGTGTACGAGGCCGGGCCACCGTTGAGGTTGTCCTCGTTGCCGATCTCGACAAAGTTGACGCGCCACGGCCGCGCGTGGCCCAAGATGGACGCACGCTGCGCCCCGTACTTGGTCGTCGCCGCGTCGCCCATCAGAAACTCGAGCTCGTTGAGGAAGTCGTCCACGTACGGCTGCAGACCGCTCTGTGGTGTCAGCGAGCCGCCCAGATACAGCCCGGCCCACGTGGCGAGGACTGGCCGTGGTTAGTTGTCTAGGTACGAGTAGGAGAAAGGGGGTTTAGAACCAGACTCACGCGGCTCCATGTTCAAATCCTCACACCACTGCATATACTCGACCAGTCCCAGCCCGTCCGTGTTCTGGTAGGACCACGTGCCCATGCGGCCGGGCCGGTCCTTGAGCGGCCCGATGGTGTTTTGCCACTTCCAGTAGTTTGGCGGCGCGTCGCCCTCGAGGTTGTTGCCACCAGGGAACCGGAGAATCGACTGTTGCCTCGGACGTTAGCGACGAGGGACATCAACTTGACGAACTGTGATGTGCAGTAATCAATCTTACCGGCTTCATCTCCGCCAGCGCCTCCATCAGGTCCTTGCGCAGCCCGTTGGGCCGGTTCTTGTACGTCGGCGGAAAGAGGCTGATAAGATTGAAGCTCAGCGAGCCGCCCTTGACGCCCTAGTCACCTGTCAGCAACGTCTCATCGACCCTGTAAATTTCAGTGCCTGCCATACCGCCGCATTGTACGTGATGCTGAACGTGTTGTTGGAGTTTGCCGCCGCCTTGGTCGGGACCAGCGTGAAGTTGTGCTGCACCCAGCCGGCCGACGTGGCAGCCGACACGATGTCAACACTACCCAGCGTCTCCTTGGATGCAGTCGACTGGAACGACGCCGTGAAGTTGCCGGCGTAGTCGCCGAGCACGTAAAAGGACCCCGTGTACGGCTGGACCTTGACGTCAAAGCCCCAGTAGCCCGGGTTGGCGAAGCCGACGGCGCCCGACCCGCCGGTCACAGCGAGCGCCTTGGGCAGCGCCGACGACAGCGGCTGGGTTGTGGACAGGGACAGGCGCGCGCCGCCGACCGCAGTCCACGGGCTCACCGACGTCGACGCGCCCTGGAAGGCGCGGTTGCGGATCAGCTCGGCGTACAGCCCGCCGTCGCCCGAGAAGTTGATGTCCTCGAACATGATGCCGTACATGTGCGCGCTGCTCGCCGCGCCCGCCGCCGCCCCGACGTTGATGCGCAGCGCTGCCGCGCCAGTAGAGAGCGAGGCCGCCGCCGCTGCCAGTGCCGCAACAGAGGGTATCATCGTTGTTGTTTGGCAGGCTGAGAGTCCAGAAACCTTTGAGAGCCGCCAGCTGTTAAACACAGCTCAACCTGAAGACGTGCAGCTCCGAGGGAGGTTGAAATACACACCTCGCCGTCCATCCCACCGGAATAATAACACACGCCCGCTATTAGCACGTGGGGCAGGTATTAAATTGGCGCTGCCGGCCACCACCCTGCTAGGCCGGCGAGTATAGGCTATAGCGCGCAAGGGTGGCGCCGTGACTCGAGCCCAAACATTACTCCGCATCGAGTGCCTCGGTGTTCCTGGTTCTTGATTATATTAGCCAGAGTTGCGAGAGGTACCCTGACGGCTACCCCAAGGCTTGGCCTCCGCAATATCCGCCGCTCGTTAATCTTTTGGAGCTGCCGTCCCGATCGGGCATTGCCCATGATGCGGGTTTATATTGTCTGGGACAAGTTAGGCGCGCCAATCACATCACGGGTATCATTGATTGTGTCGCTTGCTTAACGAGTTGGCTCGTCAGCTTTGCTGCGGTGAGCTTGTCTCGTGGGTTTCAACAACCGCTGGACATTCACCAATACGGTCTGGTATGAAAACATAAAAGTTTAATTGGGTTACTTTTCTAAAAAATATCAACGTCGGGTATTCAATAACTAGCAGCTCTCCAGCCTAGGGATAGTCCAAAAGAAAGGGGTGTGTCTAAAAGAGTGTGGCCAGAAGAGTGTCTAAAAGAGTATGTTTAAAGGAGTGAGGAATGTCTAAAGAATGTGTGAAAAACGAGTGTGTCCAGAACGGGTGTATCCCAAAGAGAGCGTGCGTAGAAAGAACGTGTCAAAATAATGAATAGTATTCCTGTCCCCTCCCATCCCTATGCCATCAAAAACGCCTCTGCAATGCAAATCCCGTCCATCTTCAGCTTCCTTTTTCAGCCTACCCTCTCATGATTTCCGCCATACATGACTCTCAACGCCATGAAAATGCTCACAAAACGCTACCACCCAGCCCATGTACCAAACGAAAGACGGCAGACACCCCACTATGGGGTGTGCGCAGCACCCAGGACGGCAAAGTTCTGGGCGCAGGTGATGCAGAAGCTCTTGGCGCCGGGGCCGAGGGTGAAGTGCGACTCGTCGTTGGCAATGGGGATGCACTTTGTCGTCTGCAGCTGCTCGACGGCCCAGCTGACGTACTTCGACGTGCAGTTGGCACCCGAGTAGAAGCGGAACACGCACTTCTCATCGCCCGTCGTGGCGATGCCGCCGTAGTTGCCCTGCGGCAGGTTGGTACACGCCCCGTCGTTGATCGTTTCTGTAGGTCTCGTCAGGATTTTGACTAGCAAAGACTGGAGGGGGGAGGGCTCAGTAATTACGGTCAAAGTTCAGCGTCTTGGGGTCGCACGCTCCCGAGCCTAACGACTGGAAGTGGATCGCGGGCGCTCCGGCACGTTTGACTACCACCAGAAACTGTACCAAAGGTACCTTTGGTACAAATACAACATTGGCTCACGCGCACTTCAACCGCTGTACTTTCACACTTTGGATTACAAAGCTCCTAAATCACGATACTATGTCATTTACTGTATGATTTGAAATATGCCCGAGAAGAATTTGATCAGAAACAATTCAAAACCTCACTTGCGCGGATGTAGACTAAGCTAAGTAAAGAAACTTTGATAAAAGTTGCACATATTGGGCCGTTTTAGCAAAATGCATGAGAGGAATAAAGTCAAATGACATTAGCGATATTTAGCATGAGCATGTCGAGTAGGTTAACATAACTAACGACTAGGCGAAGCTTATGGTTGGGACGGGAAATTTCGAATGAGAGCTTTGCTCTAGCTTTGTGTACCAAAAGAGTAAAGCTGTCTCCGACATTAATTCAGTAGTGGTGGTGACGAGAAGCTATCGTAAGTCAGTTACGTTATACAGTTAAAATTTTATGGTCTTGCAGTAGAGTAATTTTATGCTCTGCAACTTTCGGGCATTTGGGCAGGTCTTTTTTAGAGCTCTGTGGTTGGCCCAAATTTGGGTCACCTCGTGGCCGAGTTCCGTCCACATGCGATGCCTTATAATCTGCCATTTAAAGCAACTCCTCATCTTCGAAGCATTAGCTAGGGCTAGGGTTGCTGTTGGACATTAGTTACTAAGTACTATGTGCGCATTCAGCCAGGCGATATAGCAAACTCTGAGCCATGAGTTTTCAAAATCGACTCTTATTGCCATTGCTCACTGTCTGGCTACCGTAGCCGACTTTGACCAGCTCGTTGTTTTGGGGGAAGGGACCATCGTCGAATCCGGATCACCGCAGCAGCTGATGCGAGAACGGGGGGTGGGTTGGAAGATCGTGTGCCAGAGCGCTGATAGGGCAGAGATAGAGGCGGCCATTTCGAGGACAGAGTCTTAAATGCTCATCAACCAAAGCGTTCAATAATTCGGCCCTCTACCACGCGAGTATTGCGGATGCATGCGAGGAAGATGAGTTCGGACACTTGTATTCCGTGAGACATCCATTCGGCAAGCCCGTTTGGCTAAGTGGTATAGCGTATCGCTAGTAGTACCAGAGTTATGATAAGGTCATCAGTTCGATTCTGATAATGGGCATCCTCATTCTCACGAGGCTGAGGTGATCACCTCGGCTATCTTTTTGGCTGCTTTTTGCCCATCCCACGCATCTGTGCATCGGCGCCATCCCGAGTCGCAGCTCCCGGTGATTTTTTACGTTTATGCACTAGGAGTATTCCGCACCACCCTTGATCAACAAGTCCAATGTCAATCCGGGTGAAGCTCACATCCATCCATACCCCCTTTACTGCTCCTCACACAAGTAATCTAGATCCGAAACACCCATAGCCCGACCCAGAAGATGACCAAGACGCTAAATTGCGCCAGCCCCTTGATCAGCTCCCCTATCTCCTTGATCACTCCCCAAAAGGTAAGCCTCTCCCTCTTTTTATCTCGAATATACTCTTTTACCGCCTTTGCGAGGCCATCCCATAGATTGGGAAGCAGTGAGACCACCTTGCCACATCGTCTATGAAACTTCATTATTTTCTCCACCACCTTTTCCCTAATATCTTTTTTCTCGACCGACTTGCGGAATGCCGACGGGATCTTGAATTTTGGTCTGACAGATCTGTCCTCTTTGTCTAGCTTCCTTGTTGCGCGGATGAGATCAAAAAAGATCTTTTCGATGGTGTCCATGTTGTCCCCCTCCCCCCTGGGTTGCTGAAGTTTCTAGAAACCCGCAGCAGCCGAGTTCCCTCGCCAAAGTAGCGCCTTCTTCGGTAGGTACGGTCCTGTCCGAGACTAAATCGGCCTTGTTCCCGACCATGACAATAGGGAGTCGCTCAAATCGGACTGTGGAATTGGCTCGCTGCGTGACGATCTCGTGGTCCCGGCGGAGCTGGTCATGATACCCCCTGATTGCGGCGAAGGAAGCGCGATTCGCGATGTCATAAACGAGAACGACACCATCGGATTGCGAACAGGGATACTTCTGAATGCGGGTCTTGAAGACACATCGCTGATGGTCAATGGTGAAGTGGTTGCAGTATTGCTCGTAGGACGGAGGATGCCAGACGTCGGCGGTGGGTTGTTTGTATTTTAACTGGAATTTAACGATAGAAAAATCATTCCACGTTTCTTGACTCTCATCTTGACCGGGGAGGTAAATACATACCTGGCAAGCAAGGGCGGTCTTGCCCGTCTGGGGGTCGCTCACGATGCCCAATCTGAACACTCTTTCCGGCTTTTTGAACGGCATCATTTTGCGGGTTTGGGGTTACTTGACGTCTTGTTTACCAGCAGGCAATAGTTGTGATCAGTTTAGAAACTCAACAGAGTGAAAACCACGGATATCATGCTTACGGAGCAAGCGGACTAGGCACCAGCGTGCCGCAGTGCGTCAGCTGCCTCGGTCAACCATTGGACAGGTCAAGTCCGATGTCCAAGTGCGATGTTTGACTGATTACATCGCAACTACTGGTGGTTGAAGGCCAGCAATTGTTAAAAGATGGGTTGTAAGCTGAGTATTCTTGTGACGGCCAGCGGTGGTCGTTGCTCTCGGCGGGAAAAACACAAAAACAACAACCTGCGACGCTACACCTGTGGATGTAATCTTTGCAATATTTGACCAAAAGGGAACATGAAACAAGCCAAAAAAACATCCAAGCTTTGCTATCCAAGTGTAACTACCTTACCTAGGAACCTATTTACATGACTTATCCAACTTAACCTCCAATGTGACTGAAATATCTGATAACTTCTTAACCAAATACATTTCTCTCCAACAACATGGAAGCTGCTACAACTGGGCCTACTTAAAACTCACCTTCTTCGCCGTCGTCATGACATCCCCAAACGTCGCGTTAATCTCACCCCGTATCGCATCCAGCGTCGCACTCGTCAGCGACCGCAGGTCCGCTTGGGCGAGCTTATACGCCCACAGCACGTTGGAATCATGGAAATGCCCGCCCATGCCGTGGACGAGCTGGTGCACCCGCCGGTTCAGCACATGCGTGACGGCGTGGTTGTCGTATTCGAGCGCGTCAAACAGCTTTTGCAGCGTCTGCGGCGCGTCGTGATGTCGTGCGTTCTTGAGCAGGCCCTTGGCTCGCCCGCCGACTTTTCTGAGGGCTTCTTCCATGGTGATGGGGGCTTTCTCGGCAAGCTCGCCGCCGGCTTTGAAGTACCTGTAGTTTTTGGAGAGCTTTTTTGGCATGTTAGCTTGTGGCCCACTAGACTCTTCGGCTTTTCCTTTGTGTGTTTTCTTTTTTCCCTTGGAAATTAACGTACGTACCTTGCTGGATCCTGTCTCCAACTTCTTAATCGCCGCCTCCAACTTCTGCATCTTCCTCGTCGCCTTATATGCCTTACCGCCCACCGATGCCGCCGTCTTGACCCCCTTGGCGGCCGTCCTCATCATCATGTTGCCCGTCTCGAGCAAGTCGGCGCCTTCGACCGCACCATTCCCCACCAGAGCCAGAGCCCCCCGCGCCGGCGCCATCTCGGTGCCCTCGGCCATAATCGTCCCCAGTGTCTTGGTTGTCGCCTTTGCGCTCTCCAGGGCTGCTTCGCCACCCACCTTCAGCGCTCTCCCCATGTTGACGGCGCCCTTGACGGCTCCGGCTCCTCCGGCCACCATCAAGCCTATATCCACGCCGTTCAGCACCACGTCGGTCGCAGCATGGCCAAACTTATGCCAGTTCTCGTCCCCGCCCTCGGTAAAGGCCTTGTAGCCATACTTGCCCGTGTCCGCCACGGCTTTCACCGTATCCTTGCCAAACTGCACCATGCCCGTCGCCAACGTCTCCACAATCTCCCCAGCCGGCTTCTCCGCCAGCTGGGTCACCGCCTTGGGCAGGTTCATGAGGGCTTCGCCTCGCTTCTCCAGGTTGTCCACCACGCCCTTGACTCCCGGGTGTTCGTTGACCCAGTCGTCCACCTTGAGTGCCTGGCGCTGGAACCACGACAGGTCATCGCGCCAGTCTTTGCTTTCTGTGCCGCCCGCGTCGCGGTACCGGACGGGGTTACATCGTACGAAACAAAAGAGGTTCAGCCCATCGCCGCCGGAGCCAACTGGATCCGACGACACCCACCGCCCCAGCCAGGACGCATAGTACCGCTGGCCGTAGCAGTACAGCCCGGTTTCTTGATCGCGTTCTTTATTGGCGAAGCGGTAGCGCTTGTCAATGTTCAGCTCGGTGCGCATGGCCGAGTAGGTGGTCGTACCGTAGGCGGAGTACTCCTCGTACGAGATGGGGTTGCCGGCGTCGTCAAGCTCGATCTGGATGGAGGACAGGTGGTCGTCGAGTTGATACCGGTCAAGTCGCTCGGGCGGGAGGTTGCTAGCATCTGGATCGGCTGTCGATATGGTCCGCCGCTCTATGAGCGCGACATTCTTGTCGCCGTGCGTGACCTTGCAGGTCTGTCTCTCCAGCGTGATGGTGGTGCCGTTGCCGGCGAACTTGCGGTAGATGTCGAGGCCGGTGAGATACAGCGTCTCTTTGAGCTTGCGAGGTGGCGCTTCGGGGTCGTCACTGCTCTGTTGACGTTCCGTGACCTTTCTGATGCGCCGTCCGCCGGCATCGTAGACGTAGTAAGTTGTCTCCGGCGTGATATTGCCGTTTACCGCCTGGGCTACTGTCGAGGCCAGATTGTCTCGAAAATCCCAAGTCATCGCCGAGAGGTGCGACATAGAAGTCATGAGCCCTGCCCGCCCCTCGAGTCCGTCGTAGCCGTACCTCTCCGTCCTATTTCCCACCACGGTGCTCGTCAAATTATTTGACTTCTTCTCCGGCTCCAGCTGACTCGGGTCGTCGTACATGTACCGTCGCGTCCAACCCGGATTGGTGCCCTGGGAGCCACTATGCCGGACACTCAGAATATTGTTTGCCGAGTCGTAGGTATACGTCTCAGTATACCGCCCTACAGCGTTGGGAGCAACGGTACCCAGACCGCTTGTTGCCATGTCTTGAGGCCCGGGGGCAGAATTCTCGCCAAGTCGCTCGCGGCCGCTGTACTCGATCAGGCGTCCGATGGGGTCATAGGAGCAGTCGGTGCCGGGATCGGCGACCTGGTTCCGGAAGAAGACGGCCTGCTGGGCCGCATCATCAATGTGCACGACATTGCTGATAATGTCATAGGTGTAGCTAAGGCTCTGTATCGGCGTGCTCGAGGAGCCAGTGGTGTGTATTTTTGTGAGATTGGATGTCTTCTCATCGTATTCGTAGGTGGACGTCGCGCCGTTTCCGTAGCTTATGGTGGTCCGGCGGCCCTGCGTGTCATAGTCGACATTGGTGACATATTCCTTGAAGATGAGTTGGTTTGTGGAAGGATCTCGGTCCCCTCGGCTATTCACACGCAGCCTCTCGACAAACCCGGCTTCGTTGTACTCGTTGATCGTCAGCGTTCCGTCAGGGCTCGTTCCATCCACGTGTCGGTTCAGCGCATCGTAGCTGGACTGCGAGCGGTGGATTTCGGGTTCTAGTGGAACGTCGGCGATTGTGGTCCAGTCGATGGCACTTTTGTAGTTGGCACAGAGTTGTTGCTCCTGAACAAGCAGGTTTCCCTTGAAATCGTACGAGGGCATAGTCAGAATGCCAGACTGGTCATACTGCCTGTAGTGCTTGCCTCGCGCATTGGCAGACGGAGGCAGGTTCGCCTCCTCGCCGTAGATGATGTGATCCACCATCAACTCCGATCCCGAGCTTGCGCCCGGCATTGTCAAGAAGTGAGCCTTGACACGCTTAAGTGCATCGTACTCGGTGCGCATCCTGTGCCCTCTGGCAGTCCAGTCCAGTATGGAGCTGTGCTGTGCGTCGCACAGCGTCCACGTCTCTCCCGTGTCCATGGAAGTTCCATGATAGCAATGGCCGACGAGGTTGTAGTCGGATGTCTGCGTAGTCCGTCCCAGCGAGTCGATGGTCCGCACCTTGTTGCCATCAATGTCCAAAACGCTCATCTCGGTGTACTTGCCATTGGGCCCATTGTCGATTGTCGTCATGAAGGGTCTTCCCATGGCGTCGGCGTAGGTGATTGTGGGCGTGTCATGGTAGGAGGCCGACTTCGTAGCGGCGTCAAGCTCGTTCCGCCCCTTGGCC